CACCAACTATATCATCAGAGAATCAGAGCACAGCACAGTCGATCCGTTGTGGTTCTCAGCTGGTTACTTAGGATCATAGAGAAGGCATTATGTATAAATAAGAGCATGATATAATTTCCAAAACAAATTATAACCTCAGAGGAGATACAAACTATATATATAAAACTTAACTAATGTGGAAAGTATCTTTGTTTTTACTTTACTGTTGAATTGAGTCTCTGAGGAGTCTCTTTTATACCTACAGCACAGGAGAAGAGTGTGGTGGATTGTAAACTTATTTGTATAGTCACTTGGCTGCTCACCCAAGCAGGCAGAAACTGGGAAATAAACCTGAGTTAGAGTTGCAGCAGCTGATGGAAAAGGGGGAAAGTTTGAGCATGAAGGCCTGCCTTCTTCTGCCAACACATTCAATGGGATGGAAGTGTAATCTGTCTCACTCTACGAGATACTTTGAGGCTCAGAAATTGCCTTCTTAGCTGGCTCACCAGTGCTTCTGAATCAAGAGGGTGAGGGGGCATTCTTGGAAAATTTTTTTTTTCTAATCTCACTTTCTCAAAATCAAATAGTTTTCAATGAGAATTCTGGATTTTCAGTTATGCAATGGAAAATACATATTTTCTTTGGATAGCAGACCCTTTGGCTGTAACACTTCACCAAAAATGTAATTTGCATTTTGCAGATGCCAATTATTTTACTTGGTTATTTGTGAGCCATTCTCTTGTCAGTTCATTGATCTTCCGTTTGTGATATAGGAAAGTTGTACAGACTGGAATTCTTTTTGAATTGAATGACTGGCTCATTCAATCCAAAAGCTAGTCAGATAATTGATAGGGATGAACAAAAACATCGTTTTCACATTTTGCAGTCTTTGTTCACAATCTAGAAGTAGTTTGTGCTTATTCCCATTTTTAATCTTTTGTGTAATAATTAAATACCTTTGAACAAAGTAAGTTGATGGGTAAATCCACACTACAGAACAAGTACAGCATAGTGAAGGTGCCTCTTCAGCTAATGGTAAAACAGCTAGCACCAAAATCAGGTGTAGAGGTAGGAGTCATTCACAGCTACAAGAATCAGGGTAAAATTCTCTGATGGATGAGCCTCTGTGTCGTACTGCTTTTCACACATTCCTCATCTTCTTCTTTCTTATTCAACTCTGGAGTCAGCTGTTAAAATAAGGTCTTAGGGAGCAGAAGCACAATTATTCAGAGGCCATAATTGTTAAAAAAAAAGCCAGAAGAAAATTACAAATTAAAGTAGAATGATTGTCTGGTTCACCATGACTTCCATTTTCTAATCATCCTAAATTATTTTAATGCATGTTTTCAAGCTCAAAATTAGCAAAGGTCCCATGATGTAATTCTCCTAACACCCATTGAATACTACATTATGCCAGTCCAATTTCATTTCAATCTTTGGCAGCAGCATCTGTCACTCAGGGCACACATATGGGGGTTTAGGGACCTCCCACCTGTTCTGTTGCTAGATAGTACTTTTAATACATGAAGTTTAGGAATCATTGTGAAGTTAAAACAAGTTTCTTACTTGTAAAGGCCTAGGAATATAAGATTTAAAAAATAACTCTTAAAACATGTTTGTCTTTGAACTATCTTAAATTAATAATCAAAAGCTTGCATCAAGTCTAAAACAAATCAAACTCAGTCGTGGAGATGAGAAACAGGAATTATTAACTGAGTAGCGAGGCTGATGGAGGCTCAATGAGATCATTTTGTTCAAAGATTAAAGGCGATGAACACTGAAATAGTTGAGGAGGATTGCTATGAACACATCTGACTAGAGCTGCTAAATTCAGTAATGATCAAAAGTTAATTATCAAAGCAGAGAGAACTACTCAACACAGACAATTTGAGTCAATAGCTAAGCAGCCGAGAAAAGAAGTAATTTGGAAGAAGTATTTTCCTATAATGAAGTTATATAAAAGACGTACATTTCAAAGAAACCTGCCTAAAACAAGATTGCATTCTTCCTGATCAGAGAAAAATAATTAGCTCTAATTGACAGACCTGCTGCACACCAAATATTTTCAAACAATATGTTTCTGCATCAAAGCTTAATGTGTAGAGTTACTCAATGTCACTTTGATTTTGCCTTCCTTTATCTTCTGCCACTGGGCATGCTCATGATATCGCAACAAATACGCTTTGAAAAATGAATGAGCAACACCTACAAGACAAATAAAAACAGAAGGACAGATCCTGCATTTCTTTCTCAGATGGAATCCCTGGGTATTTTGTGCTGTGTTTAACATCACCGTGATCCCACTCAGAGCGAATCCTTTGTAATAGGAAAGGACCAGTTGTCTGATGATCCAACATTAAACTGGGCTGGCATGTAGATTAACCCAAGCACTTGCAATGGTTTTTCAGTTTGGTGTAAGCAAGCATGTGTGTGAAGGACACTGTTCCTTCAGCATGTGCCTTTTCTTAAGAGTTAGGAAAGTGGGATTTTCTGGTAACAAAGGAAAAAAAAAGGTAGAAATTCTCCATGTAAAAATCTAGGGAAAGACATGTGCTAAAATGTTCACAGTCCAAGAAAACAAAATATATCTATAGTTCTTTCTTCCTGAAACTGCTACCTTTCTTTCAGGGTAAATGGTTGTGATGCTTGTGATAGACATAGTTAAGTGGTCAAAAATCAAACATGCAGTTTAGACTGCTCTTTAATATTCTGTGACTTTGACATTGCCAGTTCTCACTCTCTGAAATATCTTCATCTTCTTTAATCTTTCATGTAAACAGTTTAGCTCACACCATCACGCCATGTGCTCTCCAGAATATATTCTGCTGTACTTTGTATTAAATCAACTGCATTATCATAATTTACTTGTGATCCTAGACACACTCCTCTGCTATTTCCTCTTCTTTATCTGTATTTTGATACCTGTTTTTCTGTAGTGATTTTTTGAATAATTCCGGGGAAAACCTTGATTTAGATGCAAGTTGCACATGCTTGAACTCAGAATTGTTAAGGTCCAGCTATTCTGACATTGTGGAAGAATGTTTTTGAGCTTTAAAAATAATTTCAGTTTCCTGCAGGATGGGACTGAAACTTGGCTTTTAGTGGGAAGTTTGGGAAACTGAAATGCCATTTTTGATGGTGTTTCAGTTCGTTTTACACGAAGCATTTGTGTGTTGTTATGTGTAGTTTATTACTTAGTAGGTTTCTTAATAGCATGCTTCTGACTCTGCATTTGCGGAGATCTATTGGAAAGAGACACAATCACATTATCTCACTGTTGAGGCAGAGACCCCATTTCATCATAAGCTTGTTTGAGAAGGCATAATTAGGCTTGGGTTTTTCTCAATTACTTGTGCAATCTGAAGTTGAGCATTTCCTGAGGTTTAAGTGTTTTATTTAGCACCCCTACTGTACAATTAATGTAATTGATTCCTATCATGCATTCGTTGATTTATTCGTTAGATGGAAAATATAATCCAAATGAAACAAACACATTCTTCTTTGCAAGCTGGGAGCCAGCCCAGAGGACTGCTGTTGCACCATCCAAGCTCTCACAAGCTCTCATTCTTTCTCCCAAATTTTAAACTCATTATTAGGGATTTTCATGGATTTAAATGCAGCAATTACCTTTGCTATGATGAGAGGCAAAAGTGCCAAAACAGAAGTTTTTTGAAAAAATAGCCCCATCGAAGAGCTCAAGGGATAATTCATTCTGGCAAAATTTGGAACCAGTTGTGCAGATCCCAGAGGTTTCAAAAGTTCATAATTTTACAGAAAGGATTTAATTTGTCAAGGGCTTATATGAGCATTTTTCTGAACCACTAATATTCACACTTCCTGTATAGGAACCATTTTATTTCCATCCCTAAATATAGCAGAGGTTAAAGTTCCTCACCATCACCCTTCTCCTAAATGTCGGCAGGCTTTGTAAAAATACCTCTGGAGGTAATTAGGCACTAAAACTTTCCTTTCTATAATGGGTTTATGGATCAGTTGCCTTAATTCTGCCTTTCACTACTCTCTGTGCTTGTAATCTCACCAACCATCTGACCACTTTCCACATTTAAATCTATTACAGCCTTGTTCTGCAAACACCAGGAGGAATTCTCTGAAATTATACAACACTAGCTTTTTCTGCCAGTAGAATTTCCAGCCCTCTTCCTTTAAAATATTATTTACCTATTACAGACAAAACAAGAGTGGGATGCAAGGTCGGTTCAGATTACATAATTATGGCAGAGGAGCATTAAAGGGAAAAGTCTCCCGTAACATCTCGAGCGGCTTAAGCAGCGCGATAGACTGGCGCGGCACTGCCATCGGCGCCCCCAGCTGTGTTGCTTAGCAACATTTTAATTCAAGAAGAATCGAAGGAGATGAAATCCCCGTGGAGAGGGAAACAGAAATAAGAGGGCCGTTGACAGATGATCTGAGTTGTTTCTTCTAATATACTGTGAAGATCACTGGCTCTTTTCATGAATGATAAATGGACTGTACACAGATCAATGGGTTCAGCAATAAACTGGAACCAGGCTCCATGTCTGAGGTGGTGCAGGCCAAGGGGCCCAAAGATTTACTCATTTAGATGATTTGGAGTGTGTTTTCTCAAAGGTTTCAAAAGAGGAAATTGATCTGAACATTTGGTCATCTCTTGCCCTTTTCTTTTGCTGGTGAATAAAAACAGTTTTGGAAATGGAATCCGTTCTTCCCTCTATTTCTTCCTGTTGTTGTTCTTGCTCCTGATAGGGACAGATAGCTTGTGACAAAGGGGCCAGACCTCAGAGTGAGAAATGAAGTAACAGCCCTGAATGAGCGGTTGCTAAAGACTGGTGGCCATTAAAAATAAACAAACCCCGCTGATATCACAAAGTAGGGCAGGAGCATTTTAGACTCAGCACTATCTCTCTGAATGGTCCCACAGCCTGGGATATTGCTGGTGAAGAGCTCCCATGAGCTGATGTTTGCTTGCTTTGGTGTGGCTCTTGCTTAATGATTTGTTTCCCCCACCCCTCTTGTGTTTACAGGCTGCCGAAAAGACAAAATTGAGAAACATTCCTGTAAAGTAAGTTATTTTTATATCCCTTTGAAAATGCAAGTTTAATGGCATCGTTGTATATAATGACTAAAAAGACAGTAAGAGGGGTGATGGAGATAATAGAATTCATGTTGCCCCTAATCATAGTAGTAAAAAGGTCAGTATCACTGAGGAAAGCTTTCGATTTCTTATGTGTCCCTAATGATTGCACTCCTCAAGTTTCATCCAGTTTCCATAAATTAATGTGTTGTCTATGAATAGCTGCCAAATAATCACAATCATGCTCAATACATAGTGCTTCTAGCCTTGGGGAGGTTTGTACATGCTAAAAAGATTATGATTTTTAATTGCAATCCTCGAGAAGGTCTGATGGGGGAAATAACTAGGAATGTGCCAAATAATTTCTGGGCACATGGGAATCTTTTGCACCTATGCATCAAGGCTTTGCTATCCTGTTGATTAAGAGCTCTTTCTCCCTCTGTGCATGTGCCTCTCTTACACCATACACACACATGCATGTTTCTGCTCTTTGCACAGGGCTTTGTGAAGGATGAGCAAGCTACCAGGGAGCAATTTCAAGGGCATTTTATGATAAGTTCTTAAATCTTCGGGCACTAGCAGCAACACTCAACCATATATCATTGCATTAAGAAAGTTGCTGTATAGATGTCCTGGCTCTTTGAGAAAAGGCATTTTCAGTTAAAGCTAACAGCATCAGTTATTCTGTTTAAATAATGACTATTCCGGTCCTAATGGGCTCTAATGTACCAATAAAAACAAATATTTAAACTTCAGTAGGTTATCATAGCAGTTTAACTACGTCCCAGTAACTGAATAGTCCTGTTACAGACATAGTTCTTATTTTTTTAGTAGTTTGCTGATAATGCTGACTTTGAGACTGGAGTGGGTTTGTGTTTGTAAGAACATGCACTGACAGGACTCCCCAGTCATTGTGTTCTAGCACATAGCAGAAGAGTACAGTTCTATTTGTCACTTGGATTCCATCATGTATAGTCATTTACACCTTATAAAGTGAACACAGAATGTGTATGAACACTCCTTGGAGTGATTAGGCGATATGTCAGATGACCATAAATCACTCTCTCTCTATGTTTCATTCAGTCTGATAAAAATTAGAAATAGGATCCAGCAAGGACCTGATAGAATGTGAAACTTGTAATAGGACAAGGGACCTTTCTTGCCTATAGGGCTAGTTCAAATTCAGTGCAAGCTGAATTAAAGTCATTGTTAGCTGGGGTTGTTTAATAGAGAGTGAAATGAGCTATGTTTTCACTTCACATTATACAGGGTCCAGGAGTTGCAAGGTGATGAAATTCCTGTGGACCAGCTCCAAAATAATAATTTATCATTCATACACTTTTTTTATATATATTGAGTCAAATTCTCAAGAACAACTCAACTGAATTTTATCTTCCCACTTATAACAGAAACATTAAGCACTGCAGTTATTAAACAGTATGTATGTGTCACTGATGCCAAATTAATCCACCAGAAAGATTTGGGATTTGGGGGGAATGGGTGATTTAGGTTAAGCTATATTTTATAGGATTTGATTAAGGGTAGCATTTTGAGACGGAAGGCCAGGTGGACAGACTCACTCTTTCCCCTTACATGTGTGTATTCCACCCTGTCATGTTTCCCCAAACTGGTTGTTTAACTTCTCCTTGACTATGTTCATGGTGGCAGCTTCAATTAGTACCTTAGGGGATCCATTATACACATTAATTACACTATGCATAACAAAACAGCTGAAAAATCTGCCTAGTTTTGTTCAGTGACGTGTAACTATTTAAGGTACCTGTGTGCAATTATGATTGTATGCTAAAGCTCTCTGGGCAAAGGAAAGAATATTGTCTTTAAGATAGCAGCAGTAGCCATGGACTGCATTTATATAAGTGTCAGAGCACACTTAGTACAGCTCAGGCTTGGCCAGATTTCAGTTGCTGCTTTTGTAGCTCTCAAATGTCAAGGAGAATTTCACTTGAATTTTAATGTTCTTCAGCTATGCAAAATAAAGTTAGTAGCTTCCATTGTCATAAGGGCTGAAAGCTGTACAGATTCCTTCTACCATATGTGACTTATCACATACATTTTTAAAAACACATTTTATTATTAAGACATATGTGATAGTACACTTCTGCAAATGTGAATTGCTTTTGGCTAAAAGCCATGCACTAATAAGTAGAGTTGAATCTAACTGCATTTGACATCTGCTATAATATATTTTTTTACATATATAAATATATATATAAAATATTCTCAGTTGTCATTAGCATAAAAAATTTCCTTGTTTTTACCTTATGCTGACATACTTCTTGTGTTCCAAAACTAAAGCAAAAATCACTTCCTTTTAAAGACTGTAGGTTATATAAAGTCCTTGGACAGAGCCAATAGTGCCACCATTTAATGTATTAGTTTAGGAGCATGATGAAGATTTCTATAGAAATGGTCTATTTACTTTTCATTGCTCAGTTCATTAACGTTGCTGGTGTAATATTTGGTAGGATTTTTACTGCTCTTTTATGTTCTCTGGAATCCCTACAGCATTAAATAAAGCGGAAATACAAGGAAAGGGGGAAAAACAAGGAAGTTTTCTTTTTGCAGTTCAGTAAGGCAGCCAAGCAGCTAGTTTTTCAATGTCCAAGGGTATGTTGGTGCTCAGACTATCTTGTGGGAACTTCCTGATAGCCCAAAAAGGTGCAGTGACACTTGGCTGCTTCAGAAAGAAGGCTTGGCTTCAATTCCATGCTGCTTGTAGTACTGGAAGGCACAAGGCATCCTCAGAACTCATCTTTATGTATTGGTGGCATTATCTTACATAATATTACTATAAATAAGCACTCAGAAAATAGCTAAGAAATTTCTGTATCTGCAGAACTGATTTTTTTTTTTTCCAAAAACATAAAACCCTTTTCTGAGGGTGTATGACACCAAGGTGGGCCCATAACTGCTGAATCCATTACATTTAACTGATTTATGCTCTCCTGGCCTTGCTATGTAAGGAGCACTTGCTTTCTCCCTTTGGTTTTATCCATGTTTACACTGAGAGTCTGTAGTACAAAAGGAATTTTCTAGATGTAAAGTCCAACACGCTTATTTACTTGCTGGTCAAGATGTTCCTATTCCTGCATCCAAAAGAGGTAACGTGACTTAAACAAGTTCACTCTGTGGAGGGTTTCTGATTTCTAAAGATCTATTACATAAGAGATGGTTTTGAATTAGGGCAGATCTAGAGGAATTAATCTTTTATATACCCTGTTATTTGATGCAAGAGGTGGAAAACAGTGATATCATTAAAACCCCACAATAGCTTTGTTGTAAAACACAGATTTCTTTCTGAACTTGTGTAGACAATGGGAGCTCACATCAGCATAAAACTTAGAGGAATCATGTTCATGTTGACTTGGATCACATCATTTGTCCTGAGGTGGTCTGAGCTGCAGGATCCCCCCCATATCCAGGGCAGTCCCCACTCTCAAGTACAAATGCACTTGGCTTGGCAGCCTCTACACTAACATGGACTGGAGGCCAACCAGCCCAGTGCTTTATTGCTGCCAGCAGCAGAAGGTGGGGGGCAAAGAACAGCAATTACAGAGACCTGCTCCATGAGGAGTATCCTCCCACCTTCCTGCACACAGCATTTTGCACTTCCAGAAACACACATCTTGTATTTAGGAGGCACCAATGGATTTCATTTCCAGGCAGAATCTTTCATGAAGTCAGTTTATACCTCCTGTCACCACAACATTGTGTGACATTGAGCTCCACAGTGTGGGGAAAAACAATCTTTTTTTTTTTTTTATTTTAAACCCTTTTCCTCATATTTTCACTGGAATCCACTGAAGTAGTTATTCTTTCAGAAAAGAGAAAATTATTAGTCACTGTTTTTCAGTCCTGATATTACATCCCTCTGTTGTATAGACCAAGGAGTCTTCCTAGTCCAGATTCACTAATAATGTGGATTAGTCCACCAGTGAACTGTACAGACACAAGGCAACTCTCTGTGCAATCAGAAAGGAAGACTCTATGTCTGCTGTGTTGGGCAGAGACAGTGTTAGGAAGATAAACAGGTTCTTTTCAGGTTTTCCTTACAAAGAGATGAGTTATTTTTATGGCAATGCCCTTCTGACTATGGACTGGATATAATGCCACTCTAAACAAATGTCTTAGATGAAAGCCATTTGTGAAAATGGCCAGGTGGATTCCTTGGGAAAATGTGGGCAGGTGAAAGAATGATTCGGCTAAAACTTGATGTCATCCAGCACTATGAAATGCAAGGGTGTTGTAAGAAAGAAATTAGAATTTTTAAATAGAAAATGAATGCCCTTAAGAGTGTAGTCATGTAGTCCATGAAATTCTGTAGAACTGTGAAAATATTGGAAGCGACTTCTTGCTTGAGGGAAGAAAACATTGCCTGCCTTGAGTGTCCTTTATACTCCGTTCTTTTATAGTCCCTTTTAAAAATCTTCAGTAGAAAATAATGGCATTTTCCCCAAACACCTGCATATGCTTAAATTTGCTGTAGTTTTAATGACTTCCAGATTCATGTTTTGAGACGATAGCTTGTGTTAAAATCCCGCTGCAAAATATATTTGTTTTCCATCAGCCACAAGTTTGTTAACCAGCAAGATTTCTAGTGTTTATTGTCTTTTCCTGCCATAAAATTCATCTTCTCGTCTGAACAGCATCTGACTTGACTTGGTATGGTTTTCTGTCCCAACCATCATTGGAAATGCAATCCATTAACATTTGATATCTTGACATTTCAATTGACCTCTCATTTGCAAAGCGCAGTGGTATTTTTCGTGGCCTTTTCATCCTTGATTATACATGGGATAGGAGTGCCTGTTTCTCCTGACTGCACTTTAAAAATATCTTTGTTTTACCAGCTGGAGTGGCACCTTGTTTTTGCCTCCCTGGCTAGACCTTATTCTGCATGGAAGGTCTGAGGTCTAAGCAAGTCATGCAGAGCCAAAGGATTTTCTTATTGACTCACTAAGCAGGAG